GTCCGTTACCGGGTCAGCGGCACGGCCAGGGTCAGCCAGCTGTCTGTTACCCGAGCGCTCTCTGGGCCCTGAGTAAGGGAAGCCAGGCCTGAGGCACGCACCTTGCCGTCCTCGCCAATGCTGTACACGGTGTTCTCATCGTAGCTGAACTCCACGGAGCAGACCTCCCCACAGTGGGCCCTCCAGCTCATGGCGCACTCATGCTGCTGCATGTCTGCATGGGGAGAGGACACTGAGGCCCGCCAGGCACTGGGAGCCTCCGCCCCTGCAGGAGGGGCTGCACCCTTCCGCTAGGTGGGAGCTGACTCCACCCAGAAGCCAGGCTGCTCCAAGCCTCAGGAGCAGCTTCTTCCACTTGGTCAAAAGTGAGGTTTGGAATCCCTGGAGGGGCTGGGGATCACCTGGGATGCCTCCCCACGAGGCCTCTGTAAGCCCACCAGGGCACCCCAGGGTCTGTGAAGACACAGCCCCTGGTCCCATCCCAGACCCACCGAGTCTAATCTCTTGGGGACAGGGGATTTCTAAGCAGCATGCCAGACGGTTCTGGTGCACACCTCACGTTAATAACCACCTTTCTGACGCTTTACGAGAAGGGTGAGCAGCCCACACTGGAAGAGGCTGCATAGGCCCGGCTCACTATTATTGACTCCCCATTGCTATCTGCCACGTTGTCTCGTGATTTTGTTTTTCCCTCCCGTACCAGTCTCTAGGTTTAGGATTAACTGATGTTCCTCCCTGGAGGGTGGAAAACAAGCGATAATGACCTAAGAATGACAAACCAAACAAAGCACCCATCTTGTGACAAGAAAAAGCAGGATGTCGCCAGATAATCCCTAAGGATGTCACCAGATAACCTCTAAGAATACCAGTAGAAGGTTAACTCAGCTAAGACATTACTACCTCAAGGGGAAACTAACAGAAACTTCTAAGATCCATAATCCTGTCCCTATAAAAGCCTTCAGCCGATCTCCAGCGGGGGAGATGGGTTTTTTGGAGGAATCTATTCTCCTGTGTCTCCTATATATCGATATATAATAAACATCTTGCTGCTCACCTCACCCCTGTCTCAGAATTGGCTATTGCGGCAGGCAGCTCCAATCTGCGTTATTGCGGTAACAACACCACGAGGACAAGACATCATTACCCATGTGACCTCTGGGACCTCACACAGGCCCTGAGAACCCAGATCCAACAGCTGAGGACTGAAGGGCTACAGCTCCACCCCAACGTCCACCAACACGAACCACGAGGAAGCTGATTACAGTGGGCACCCTGAAAACAGCAGCCTCTGACCAAAGCTGAGCTCTATTACAAGTCTCTTCATTTGGGGGTTTGCAATAACCTCTAGTCCAGCTGGCAAAAGTCCAACTCTCTTCTCTGGGCCATCTGAGGAGGGGGCCAGGGCTGCCACAAACAGCCTTCTTACCAAACAGCCGGATGACACCGTCGGCTGCACCAGTGACCAGCAGATTCCCGTTGTGATTGAAGGCTGTGCAGTTGATGGCAATGGGCTCCGGATCCAGGGAGAACTGAAGCTAGTAAGAAAATGTAAAAGCAATGAGCAGCCTGTAACCGCAGGTGAGCCACGCTGCCTATCCCAGCTCCAACACACACAGGCCTCAGGCGAGGTTCTCAGCCTGCTCCGCCCTGCCTGCCCCAGCAACACGGGTCTGAGCCTTCGCCAAAGCTGGGCTGTGGCTTCTGGGAGGTGAGCCAGTCCTCCGGGCCTCAGACACGCTGGCCTCCACGCAGGCAGCAGCCCAGGCTCCCTCCAGCTCTATCTACACAAGTCGTCCACATCCTAGCGGCCTGCGGTTCACTCACAGTGCATTCCACTGTAACTCTAAGTTAAAAGCAAGATTCCTGGCAGGAAATAATGATCTGCCAACTGCCTTTCATCACAGGCGACCCCAAGTCACGGGAGAGGCCATCTCCCAGGGTCGTGTACTGCCCACTCCCATGCCACCCAGTTCAGTGTCTTCCCATAGAGACACTTATAACAGGGCAGGACCCTGTGAGGTCACACAAAGCTGTAATGTGGCTAAAATATTGTTTGTCTGTTGATTCTTCAGCTATGTGTGATGTGTTGTGCTAGCTAACAGAAATATAGTGGCAAACAAAACACACATAACACCTAACCTCATAGAACTTGTTATTAGGTGCCATCAAGTCACTTCTGACTCATAGGGACCATATGTACAACAGAACAAAACACTTCCTGGTTCTCCGCCATCCTCACAATCATTGCTATGTTTAAGCCCACTTCCTCTTTTTCACTGACCCTCTACTCTACCTAGCATGATGTCCTTCTCCAGGGACTGCCTGATAACATGTCCAAAGTACATGAGACAAAGTCTTGCCATCCTCCCTTCTAAGGAACATTCTGGCTGTACTTGTTCCCAGATAGATCTGTTCACTCTTCTGGCAGTCCCTGGTATATACAATGTTCTTTGCTGACACCATAATTCAAAGGCATTAATTCTTCTTCGGTCTTCCTTATTCACTGTCCAGCTTTCCCATGCATATGAGGTGATTGAAACACCATGGCTTGGGTCAGGCACACCTTAGTCTTTGCTTTTTAACACTTTAAAGAGGGCTTTTGCAGCAGATTTTCCCAATGCAATACGTCGTTTGATTTCTTGACTGCTGCTTCCATGGACCCTGATTGTGGATCCAAGTAAAATGAAATCCTTGACAACTTCAATCTTTTCTCCATTTATTAAGATGTTGCTCACTGGTCCAGTTGTGAGGATTTTTGTTTTATGCTGAGGTGTAATCCATACTGAAGGCTGTGGTCTTTGATCTTCATCAGTAAGTGCTTCAAGTCCTCTTCACTTTCAGCAAGCAAGTTGTGTCATCTGCATAACGCAGGTTGTTAATGAGTCTTCCTCCAATCCTGATGCTTTGTGCTTCTTCATACAATCCAGCTTCTTGGCTTACTTGCTCAGCATACAGACTGAATAGGTATGTGAAAGGATACAACCCTGACGCACACCTTTCCTGACTTTAAACCAGGCAGTTATCAACTTTGTTCTGTTTGAACGGCTGCCTCTTGATCTATGTACAGGTTCCTCATGAGCACAATTCTTCGTCTTCACAATGTTATCCATAATGTGTTATGATCCACACAGTTGAATGCCTTTGTGTAGTCAATAAAAAACACAGGTGAACATCTTTCTGGTATTCTCTTTCAGTCAAAATCCATCTGACATCAGCAATGACATCCCTTGATCCATATCCTCTTCTGAATCCAGCTTGAATTTCTGGCAGCTCCCTGTCGATGTACTGCTGCAACTGCTTTTGAAGGATCTTCAGCAAAATTTTTCTTGCATGTGATATTAATGATATTGTTTGATAATTTTCTGCATTCTGTTGGATCACCTTTCTTTGAAATGGGCAAAAGTATGGATCTCTTTCAGTTGGTTGGCCAGGTAGCAAATTTCTTGGCACAGATGAGTGAGCACCTCTAGCACTGCATCCATTTGTTGAAACATCTCAGTTGGTATTCTGTCAATTCCTGGAGCCTTGTTTTTTGCCAATGCCTTCAGTGCAGCTTGGACCTCTTCCTTTGGTACCATCGCTCTTGATCATATGCTACTTCCTTAAATGGCTGAATGTCAACCAATTCTTTTTGGCAAGTGACTCTGTGTATTCCCTCCATTTTCTTTTGATGCTTTTTGCGTTGTTCTATAGATCTTCCAAAAAAAAAAACCCAAACCTGTTGCCGTCGAATCGATTCCAACCCATAGTGACCTTATAGGGCAGAGCAGAACTGCCCCATAGGGTTTCCAAGGAGTAGCTGATAGATTCGAACTGTCGACCTTTTGGTTAACAGCCGAGCTCTTAACTACTGCACCACCAGGGCTCCCTATAGAACTTAAAACCCAAAATAACCAAACCCACTGCGGTCGAGTCAATTCCGACTCACAGTGACCCTACAGGACAGAGTAGAACTGCCCTGTAGGGTTACCAAGGAGTGGCTGGTGGATTCAAACTGCCGACGTTCTGGTTAGCAGCCGAGTCCTTAGCTCCAGTACCACGAGGGCTCCCTATAGAACTTAGGGCCTATTAATTAATAATGAACCAAGAACTTCAACAACATGGAAGACTAGGAACACTAAATAACCCTCCAGATGGAAACTAAAAAAAGCCACACACACACACACACACACACACACACACACACACACACACACACACACTACTGAGCTGACATGTAAAGGAACCCTCCCCTGAGGCCTGAAGTGAAGAGGAGGCCAGAGTGCTGAGGATCAGTGAATTCTGGTGTTCACTCTGGGGAACCGACTATTAGTGAATTCTGGTGTTCACTCTGGGGAACCGACTATTAGTGAATTCTGGTGTTCACTC